TATATATATATATATATATATATATATATACACTAAAATAAACTACTTGTACTACTATTTCGCGGGTTTTCACTTATCACAGGGCTTCAGGGTACGGATCCCCCGTGATAAACGAGGGACTACTGAATATGTTAAAATGATGTCGTTATATACATTTTTGTCTTAATGTTGATTAGCTGTGGCAGCCATCTTGAATTAGATGGACTCCAAAAAGTAATCTGTTGTAAAAATACAGTGCAAGATTAGGCTCTAATAAATTTTTATTAGCAGCTTCCAACTAACAACAACTTTATAAATTCAACACACAGCTGAATGCCATTTTAAAGGGGCTTTAATTGATACAATTTATTTAAAATACCAAACAAAAGGATTAGAGTTAGCAGATAATCAGATTTTTGTAGATTACTGGCTAGTTAATAGGTGAACACAGCCTCCTTTTTTAAAGTGTTTGGTAAATTTGTAGCATTGTAAGTCACTTACAGGGCATTTACTTTGTCCAGAAACATTCTTCTTAATCTGCAGGAATGTGAGCAGGAGAATGAGTAATCCAGTTCAGAACACAAATCACTTGTTTTCATTCTGTTGCTTTTCACAGCATTTTGTTTCCATTCAGCAAGGTCGTCTTTATATTAAATCGAACCATTTCAATCCAGCTTTGCTAATGGTAACCAAGCAACAAATAAAAGAGAGCATTTCTCACAAAGGAACACATTTACATCAAGTATACGTGAAGGAAATATTGTAGTTTATGGATAATTATCTGTATATAAATGTGTTTGATGTGATGAGACGCTGGTCATTCCTGCACCCAGAAATGTTACTTAGCAACAGAGGATGAAAGTGGATTCATTTGTTTAGATCTTATATTCTGTACCCAAAAACATAGAAGGAAGACAAAAGTAGTACTAGCATTTCTCATCTACAAATACTTGATTTTCGTATTAAAGTTAGGATGAAGATCATCATCATTAAAATATTTATAATAAAGTGACAACGTGCTTCTTTCCAAGAACAAAAATCAGTGGAAAAAAATTTACGTTTTCAAATAGTTCTAATAACAACATAAAAGTTCTCTACACAGCATTTAAATGTAAAAATTCATCACTAAGTTGCTGCAAATTCCTCATCAGAACTAGAATTTACCATACTTTCCACCGTACACGTTGCACCGCCATATACGTCGCCTTTATTACGCGTCACCGCTGACCACCCGGAAATGTGGGCCGGTATTGTGCCAAAAATTGGTTGGCTGCCAAATGACAGCCACAGGAGCATGCACGGGAGGACTTTAACAAGAATTTAACAAGATTAACACTTAAAAACAATTATCTGTTTGCTTGACATGATAGTAAAGGTGTGTCTCAGTTAAACTTTAATTAATAAATGCACTTTAATGGTCAAATCAGCTGCATTTGTCCTGGGCGGTGCAACGAAATGCAGCTGATTTGATGTTTGCTCCAGGAGTTCTGTAGCGAGACGAAGGTGTCTTTGTATGGCAAGCCAAGTGTCTCATTAATAGCCACTTTTACCTATTTATGAGACACTTGGGTTGCCATATTACTTGAGTGCCCTCTAGTGACTGAAAATGTTAGTGTTCAATATTTTCCATGTCAGAATGAATGAAATCGTCAGATCTCAGACAAAATTGGTTTATAAATATGGGGAAAAAACATATTCTAGTCGCTTCGGTGTATAAGTTGCAGGACGTGCAAATTTATGCAAAAAGGTGCAACTTATACAGCGAAAAGTACAGTATATGTTTTCACACTTGCCTTTTTAACTGGAACTTTTTTGGTGTGTGTGTTTTACAGGTGATCAATACAGAAGCAACAAACGTTGGAGACACTGGAGAAAAAAAAAAGCAGCACTGGGTGACAAAGAACAGCCGCGAAGATCTGGAAAATTAACGTTTCGATGAATCCAACCATAGATTTTCTTTATGTAAAGATCTATTTTTTAACCAAGCACATATTTAAGGTAATACTGTGAGCTGGTGTAAAGAGATTAATTACTGAGCTGTCTATTATACCACAGGTGCCATAAAAACACAAGATTTGGGTGAATCATTTCTTATTTTTATCCTTTTTTGAATTTAAGTTAACAGTAACTGCACTGTCAATGCACACAGAACACAATGAACCAAATTTAAATGTTAAGTTAAATTGTTTATGACTCGTTGGCACAAACTTCATTTTACATTTGAGGTAAAGTAAAAAAATTATAACGGATTTTTTTTTTAAATCTGCTGTTTTACTTTGGCTGAGGCACATGAACAAATTCAGCACTATTCTTTAAATATGTCTTGCTGTTGCTACTAAATTGCTTTTGTATTGTTTAGTTTTTGTGTTTTGTTTGATTTATTTGGGACAAAAAAAGGAAAATTTTATCATGTGCATTTGTTTTATTTGATGAATAGGTAATGATATTGCACACTGCCTTAGCTGGATGACCTCCAACTGCAGTTTGTTCTACTGTCAAAGCAGCATGTAGCCGACAATAAAACACGCCTGCAGCGAAGCAGGATGTCTTTTATTGAAGTTAAACTCATTCTGACTGATGCTTGGTTTGCATACTGGGTCAAACAGGTTCTTATGTTTGAAAGTGTTTACAATATTTTGGGAACATGGAGACAAATAAATCCAAATTACACAGATTCTGAGGTTGGTAAGGATGCTTAGGGATTTTTTTTTTTGACCTATCAGTAGTTCATAAATTGAAATTGATCGGAATTGTATTTAATAAATTGAATTAAATGAATGCAATGTAACTTAATGAGGAAAAGTTATTACATAAAATAATAAAAAATGAGTTGACTGTTGTCAAGTTGGAAATTTAGAGGAGAGAAAAACGCTGTTAACGTCTCCAGATATTATAAACTGTTTTGTTGTGTTTCGTAGCCTTGCAACAATTGAGCTGATGACCTCACATGCAGAGTTGAAACTGGCTATTGAAAAAACAGCACAACCCCAATTTCCAAACAGTTGGGACATTGTGTAAAGTGTAATTAAAATCAGAACGCAATGATTTGCAAACTCCATGATCGCATATTTTGTTTATAATAAAACACTGTGAGTATATCATATGTTTAAACTAAGAAATTGTACCACTTTTAAGAAAAGATATGGTAATTTTGAATTTGATGGCAACAGCACATCTCAAATTAAGGACATGGTCATGTTTGCCACTGTGAAGCATTCACCCTCCTTTAACCAACAGTCTGTAAACATCTAGGACCTGAGGAGAGCAGCTGAGGCACAGAGCTGAAAACATGACATTCTGTGCTCTTTTAGAGCATTTAGAGTTTAAAAACATTGTTTAGAATATTGCAAGTGTTCACTCATTTTCATTAACATTTTCAGCCACTAGAGGGCACTCGAGTAATATGGCAACCCAAGTGTCTCATTAATAGGTAAAAGTGGCTATTAATGAGACACTTGGCTTGCCATACAAAGAGTGTTCACTCTTGCAATATTCTAAACAATGTTTCTAAACTCTAAAGGCTCTAAAAGAGCACAAAATGTCATGATTTCACCTCTGTGCCTCCGGCAGCTTTCTGCCACTTGCAAGCACTCTTGGCCACGCCCACTTCTCTGCTGCAGAGCGAAGTTCTTCACACGCTGCAGGAGGAAGCTTCTCCTTCAGCTGTGGGCTGCACACAAGTGCAGCAGGTGCTAAATAATTTAAAATAATTTGTTTTCAATTAAAAAAAATCCATGCTGACCGTGTGGCTCATCCATCAATCAGCCAGTTGTGTGTCATGTCCAATCTTATTTTGAAAAACCGCGACAGAGCCAGTCCACGAAAAATGAATCGTGAAGTAGCGAGGGACTGCTGTATATAATTTTTATCTGACCACAGAAAAGTTGTCCACTTTGCCTCTGTTCACTTTAAAGGAGCTTTGGTTCAGAGAAGATGGAAGCATTTCTGTGTTCACATATTGCTTCTTTGCATGATAGAGCTTTAACCAGAATTTGTGGGTGAACTGGTTTGCAGACAACAATTTGTGGAGGTGTTCCTGAACTCATGCAGTGATGTCCAAAACAGATCCAGACCTGTCTTTATGCAGTGCTGCCTGAAGGGCCTGAGCAGTCCTAAGGACCTGAACATCAGCATCCAATAATGACTTCAGCCTTGTCCAGTAAACTGAGATTTCTACAGATTATTTTGTTTGATGATACTTTGTATATGAACTGTAGGTGATGGTATTTTCAAAGTTTTGCCAATTTTCTGTTGAAGAACATTATTCTGTGAGTGTTCCATTATTTTTAGAGTCAGTTTTGTGCAGTTTATTGAACCTCTGCCCATCTTATTTTAATTACTTCTGAGAGATTTGGCCATTCTGTGTAATTTTTTATATTTAGTCCTCTGCTGCCAATTAAACCTATTTGTTGCAAAATACAACTGTGCTGTTTCATATACCACTTATTTTAGAGCCTCAGTTCTAATTATATTTTTTAAGTGTTACTGCCCCAAAAGATGTTTAAAAAAAGGTACAATTTCTTCTTTTAAACATTTGATGTGTTTACTATGTTCCACTGTGAATAAAATGTGTGTGATTAGCAAATCGTTGGATTCTGATTTTATTTGTGTTTTATGTAACATACCAAGTTTTAATGATTTACACAATTTAATCTTCATTCCTGGCATCTCCATTACTCCTCCTTTTCTAGGTTGGGCTTTTGAAGTCTTTAGTAAGCTCAGTCAGTTGACTGCTGCATGTGAACAGCTCTACTATTTGCGTGGCCGCTCATCACAACATATGTTAAAAGGCATCAGACAACAACAACAGAAAGCATCACATGCTCCAAAAACAGCTTGAGAAAAAAATCTTCCCAAACGGAGCATTTTAGCAGAAAAGTGCTCTGTTGAAAACCTCAACATTTAAAATGAACACAATGAGATCTGAAGATGTTACCACACAGTACAACACCAAGTTCCAACTTGTTTACTGAATACATACAAATCACTGCCATAATTTTAGTTACCATTTCTGCTCTCACACAAATCTTAGTGTGACATACACACCAACACACACACTCATTCTTGATGCTTTGTGTGTTAAAAAAATAAAAGTCCTATCACTTAAATAAGTGGCAAGCCAATATAACATCATAAATGTGTGAAATATATAAATATATATATATATATAGTTTAATTTTTTTTTCTCCTTTGAGCAGGTTCATAGCAGTGATTTTGCATGGCAGTAATGCATAATAAAGTGTTGACACAATGACAATTTTTGCCTGTGAACTCCTTTCTCTTTCTTCCTCCATTCCAAAATGACACACTTCAATTGGCTCAGTTCGGCTCGGCACATTTATTATCTGTCATAAACGCACTGTTGACTGCCCTCAACCTATTGTCTGTAATTCATCACAGAGAGCCACCATCTGAAGTAACATAAAAGCAGCCACACGGCACTGAACCTCAGTCATGTGCATACTAAGGAGATTTTTACCCTTTTTAACTTATGCAGTAAAAAACAAAACCACCAACACTCAATACACAACATATTCTTCATACTAAACAGCATTTGGTACTTTTTAAATCACACAGTAAACCCTATGTTTTAGGTCAAACAAAAATAATCAACAGCATATTTATAGTAAGTACATTACATTTTTCTAGGCTGTGATCAATATTTTATTACATCACATTTTATCTTGGGGGGACAAAAATCAAGTGCTGTTCATTAATGTATTTTACAGGTTTTTCATTTATTTTAATATCAAGTGCATGACTGCCACCTGGTGTAAAAACTGGAGAAGTGCAGTTTCGATGGTAAATTTACCCAAAGAATAGAATAGAATAGAATAGAATAGAATAGAATAGAATAGAATAGAATAGAATAGATCTTTATTGTCATTTCACCTAAATACAACGAAATTTGGGAAGACTATTCCCAAACACACACACACACACACACATCTATCTATCTAATAGTGAGCTCTAAAACGAGATCTGTTAAAGAAAAATATTTCCAATTTTAAAAACGTCATCAGATATGTACAAATTTTGCTAATCATACCTTGCAAATTATAAACTGAATCTTGTTTTCTTTTTAATAAATCCAAACTGTTCAACTTCAAACAAAATAAGAAACATTTCCGTCTTGTATTAATGCAGATTTTTTTTAACTAAAACAAGCTATCTGTTGATGTAATCCCGTTTTCTGCAATTTCTTTAATTCAGTGTCTGTTGTGTAATTTACTCTTATTTTTATTTATTGTTTGCATCCTCATAGATGATTTATTAATTCAATAAATTGTTCTTATTTGTTTTGTTTTGTTTTACAAGTGAAAGTGCACTGAGACTGATACAGGGAGACAAAATAAGACAGGAGACTTCTGTTGTGAATGATCAACGCATCGTTACGCAATTGGTCAATGCTACGACGAGATGTCAGCAGCGGACCAATCAGCAGCGAGGTAGATGAGTCGTTGACCAATCAGCTGCCTGCTCGTAGTTCATCGTGTTTAGTGAGTGAGCGTTTGAGGGTGGGGTGACTCAACCCCGGAAAACAGCCTTTTTTTAATATCTTGCAGCCAGCGGAGCAGAGTTCACTGGTGAGTCAGATTTGCTGTGCTGATTTTCTTTAATCTGTGGCGTGAGTTGAAATGTGCTGCGTGATAAAGCAAAGCTTGGCTTTGCTTTTTTAGCCGGTAGGTACAGACATATTTCGAGTGTCAGGGCATATGGTGGACTCCCTCTGTTTTTACAGTCGCGCGAGCAAAGAAAAAATAGCATACAGTAACTTGGCGGTTAGCTGAACAAAATGTACCACTGTCTCTTTAACTCACGTATGTTTTAGTGTAAAAAAATAAATAAAAGAATAAAGCTCACTCTTGAAGTGTGTAAATAATGGCTTCTCCCTTTCTCATCACATT